GATGTAATGGCTGGAGCTCCAGCAGCAATCATGAGATAATCTTGAGAACCAAGTTAGAAGAGCGGAGCAACGAGACAGAAGGGGTCTAGGTCGCCAACACTTTAAAGTACTATTCCCGCCTGGACTGATCACCTTTAGGCTTCCTGAATGTAAGGGGCAAAAATAAAAGCTTCCATCTTGTGTAAGGTCCTCTTTTTCTCGTGGGAATTTCTGTTATTAGTCTAATCAATTCCTACTTCTCTGTACATCTTGTCTACATCTCAGAGGGAAAGGAAAAAGAGGACCCCTTCCCATCAGCACCTGTTTGAGATCATTAATACTCACCTATTTTCCTAGTGTTCTGCTGGCCCTTCCCATCCTCTTCTCCAGTCCTGGCAATTTATTTTCCACTCATCATAAACCATTTTCCGATACCTCCCCCCTCTGCTGCTTTCCTTGCAGCTGCCATTTCCCAAAGAACCTTGTGCCAGGTGCTTCATATTACATAATTACATAACAGTATGTGTTATTTCTAATCTTCACGATTGTTTAAGGTTGATATTATTGCCATTTCCAGATGTGAGAAGTGAGGCTCAGAGGTCAAGAACTTGCCCAAGGGTCACAATAGGTAAAGAGGGAAAATCAAGATTCAAATCTAGGTCTCCAACTAGTGGTTCCAAAACCTGGCTGATCATCTGAGTTTCTGGGAAATTTTCAAATATACAGATTCCAGAGCTCTACTCCAGATCATTCTTACTCAGGGATCTTGGGATGGAGTGGGGGAATCTGGATTTTAAAGAAGATCTCAGGTGATCCATTGCACAGACAAGGAGGTTAGGTGTGGAGGGCTCTTCCAGCTTTTAAGGGTCTAGGCTGACTCCCAGATGGTTCTAGAAGTTGACCCAAGGCCAGGTCTGGGCCCAGCAGACCTTCATAGCTATACTCTCCCCAGTCCTCTTACCGGGTACTACCCCCTCCAAGACACTCCCTCTGAAGACATCCTGGGTGAACTTGGGCTTGTGGTCATTCTGGTCTGTCACAATGATGGAGATGTTCATGGGCTCTTCCACTGAGGCGCCGTTCTCTGACACAGCGTGGCCAAAGAGCTGTGGGTACACAGGTCTGGAATCAGCCTTGCGCTACCTTCCCCACCAGGCCCTGGGGCCCTGCTTCTCTTTGGATGCTAAAGGTTACTTGCCTCATACTTGGCAATCTTCTCCCGGTCCAGTGGCTTATTCACTAACAACCAGCCTGTTTCCTTCTCTATGGTGAAGACGCCCTCAGGGGGGCTGTCTGCCCCAGGCCCCGTGATGCTGTAGAAAATCTTGGTGCCTCTGTCCTTATTAGATTTGAGCTGGAAGTGAAAGGAAATGGCAGTTGACAAGTGACAAATACCTCATGACTGCAGCAAAGACCCCCCCCACCCACCCACCGCCCATGGGGAAGGGTGGAGAGGCACTCGCTGCCTTATCAGAAGCTGCTTCCATGACAGAGGCTTTCCTCTGCAGGTCCCAGTGCTCAGTAGCAAGAAACCTCAAATTCAGGTCTTTAGGTGAGGGTTCTTGTAGCCACCAATGACTCCCAGTGAGAAGACATACTCATACCTGATTCAGCTTCTGGGGGAAGGGACCTTTGCCATTCTCAGGGATAGATATCGGTGGGACTACCCATTCTCTCTTGCGTCTTCGTAAGATACGTTTGGATGGGGAGATCTTCAATGCCTTCCTTTCCTGCAAAGTGAGAAGACCTCTTAACCCAGATAAGCCAACATCTGGAACACACCCAACATCCTCTCACCTACAGGAGTTAAGGGTGAGGAGAGACCTAGATGGGTCAATTGCAAAAGAAAACTTGGAATAATCTAAGCGTTCACTTAGGAGGCCCAATTAAATATTTTACAGTACATCCATCTAGTGGAATACTATGTAGCTCTACAAGGGAGGAATAAGAAAGCTCTCTATGTTCTGACATGGAAAGACCTCTGACATTTACTGTTGAATGAAAATAACAAGGTACGGAACAGTTTAATACAGTTTAGCATTTTATTTTACAAACACCTGCATAGTGTTTAATATATGTCAGGCACTGTTCCATATTTTGTGTAAAAAGATGGGCAAATAAGACCATATATTCGTATTTGCTTAAACATACACAAAGTCTGGGGGGAATACAGAAGAAATTAATAACAACGATTATTTGTGGGAAGAGGATCGGAGTGTACTGATATATTTGGGTGCAAAAAGAAGGTGCACACGTGTGAATAGTATGTTAGCTTTTGCATGAGTCTTTTATAGCTGTATATATATGATATATAACATATAAAATATAAATACATAACACATATATATAATTAAATTCCAGAAGGAAAGAAACTAGTTAAACAGTGGTTACTGGTGTCTTCTCTTGGAGTAGAGAGGACATTGGGCAGATGGAGAGAAATAAGGGGAGGCTAGTCATTGTAAAACTTTTCAATATTTTTTTAGTTTTAAACCATATAGATATTAGCTATTCAAAAAATTTAAAGAAACAGAGATGCATGGTCAAGTGCCTCAGGTCTCTTCCCACAGGCTCATGGGACTGGCAGTCCTGTGTTGGAATTCCCTTCACTTGGGGTTTATCCAGATGATATGGGAAAGATGAGGGAATCCAAGGGACAAGGGCATTGGCCATTCGTTATTCACAAGGCAGCTCTCTGCCGCCCCTAGTGGGAAGATGCAAGCACCACACTGTTTAGATCGGTACCCACGCCCACAGCTGTGGGCAACTGAGAGCTAACTCTACCTCCTCTGAAGGGATAAGGTGGCTCACATTGGCAATATGGGCATGCATGAGGAACATCTTTCTTCCATCCTGCAAGTGGACATGATTCTGTCATTACCTGGACTGTTCTGTCGTTCAGCACAGTGAAGTCATCTTCGGGGCTAAGCAGGGCTGACTCTTGCCCAGGGTAGCCCTTGAAAACTAGTGTGGGGAAGGGAGAAAGAGAGTATTAGTAAGGAAGGGCTTCTGGAAGGTACCCTAGGGGAGATAAGACCTGACAATAGCCCCAACCAGATCAAGGCCACTGCAGAAGGAGACGTGGCCATGGCTTACTTCTTCTGAGCAGTAGTGAGACCAAATACGAGTTTCAGATGGAGCTTCCAAGTTTGGCCTCTAAAGGGCGGCCCACTTTGTAGACAGTTTGTGAACCAAACCCCTTTCTTTCTTCACCAAGTCAGAAAACTAAGATAGATGTTGAGTGACATTAGCCCCGCCAAGTCAGAAAACTAAGATAGATGTTGAGGGCCTCATGAGACATAGGGGTGACCCAAGGTCACAGCTGGAGGCAGAAAATTTTCAGCATTTCTAAAAGCCATGAGTCTACCTACATGTAATATGCATCCTGCTACACCGTCACCCATACAGGTTACTCTGGACAACCTCTGGTTGTTTGAGCTTGTCACATTCCTTCTGAATCCCCCCTGCTTGGCCACCCGTTAACAAGCATTCTGAGTTAACAGCTACCATTCACTAAGCCAGAGACTGGGCCCACTTCATTCTTGACTACCCTACTAAGGTTTTCAAAGACAGGAACACTGAGGCTCAGAAGCCAGGTTGGCCTGACCCCAAGGCATTCACTAAAGAGTACTCACAACCAATGTTCTTATCCACCCTTCCTCGTGGCCAAGGCATGAAATCAGGGAACCTGCCAGGGACCACACCTGGGTCTATCAGCACCACGCTTTGACCCAGTGGTTCCCTTCATGCTGGCCCAGACACCAGTGCTCATTATTTTTCCAGGCTGCGGCACAACCAGGACCACCGGGACAGTGCTGTGCCATGAAAATATCAAGGGAAAGTCTTCCAAGTATTCTTTTTTGAAAAATTGTCCTTTAGTTTCAGATAATAATGATGATTGTTTTAAAAACTCCTTCCTCACTATAAGAACGGATAGCAGATGAGGTTTTTTCCTTAACTATATATAAAAGTAATGTGAACATGATAAAGTATTCAAACAATATATGAGTATACTATTTAAAAAGTAGAATTCCAAAGGATTAATATCCAGAATATATAAAAACTCCTAAAATTCAACAACGAAATCAAACCAATTTAAAAAGAGGTGCATATTTGCAAAGGACTTGAAAGGACATTTCTCAAAGATATACAATGGGCCGATAAGCATCTGAAAAGATGTTCGATATCATTAGCAAATCAAAATCACAATGAGATAACACTTCACATCCACTAGGATGGCTATTTAAAAAACCCCACACAAAGGAAAAATAATTAGCGTTGGCAAGATGTGAAGAAATTGGAACCCTCATGCACTGGGAATGTGAAATGGTACAGCAGCTGTGAAAAGTTTGGAGGTTTCTCAAAAGGTAAACAAAGGATTATCATAGGATCCAGAAATTTCACTTTTAGGTATATAGCCGAATAACTGAAAACAGATACTGTACACAAGTTTTCATAGCATTATTATTCACAATAGCCAAAAGGTAGAAACCCAAGTGTCCATTAAGGGATGAATAAACAAAATGTGGTCTATACACACAATGGTATATTTATTCAGTTTTTAAAAAGGAATAAAGTTTTGACACATATAAGATAGATAAACCTTGACAACATTATGCTAAGTGAAATGAGCCAGTCACGAAAGGACAAATACTGCATGATTCCACCTATATGAGGTACCTAAAGTAGTGAAATTAATAGACAGAAAGTAAAATAGAAGTTACCAGGGGGTGAGGGAAATGGGGAGTTATTGTTTAATAGGTACAGAGTTCTGTATGGGATGATGAAAAAGTTCTGGAGATGGGATAGTGGTGATGGTTGCACAACATTATGTATTTAATACCACTGAATTGTTTACTTTAAAATGGTTAAAATGGTCAATTTCATGTTATGCATATTTTATCTCAATAAAAAAAATGTAGAAGTCTGACGTGGGAGTATAAAATGTGATATTTGGGTTAATTGTTAGGCAGTATTTACTGAAGCTAAATATACACATTCCCCTAGACCCAGCAATTCCACTTTGAGGTATAGACCCAACAAAAATACATAGACCAAAAGACACGTATTATAATAGTCACAGAAGCACTGTTTATATATAGCTAAAAACTGGAAACAGTCCCAATGTCCACCAAGGTAGAATAGATAGAAAACATCGTGGTATATTCACATAGTAAAGTGAATCAACTACCATGACATGTGACAACATGGATGAAACTTACAAATACATGGTTGCATAATAAACACTAGATGCAAGAGAGGACATATGTATGATTGCAATGACACGAAGTTCAAAAACAGGCAAAATTCAGCAAGGTGAAAGAAGTTAAGACTCTAGCTATCTTTTGGGGAGAGGGGTTAGTGAATGGAAAGGGACAAAAGGGAGCTTAAAAGCATACAGAGCTGTCTTCTGCTCTCCAGAGCCCAGCGCCAGCTCCCCGGAGCCCAAGAGCTCTCGCATAAAGGCAGGATCATTTGTGGAAAGGCTGGAATGTGCCCATGAGAAAGAGAAGATGGCATAGAAACCAGAGCTGCCTCCTTGACGACATCCCCACTGGAGTCATGGGCTGTGACATGCTGGGCTAGTGGGAGGAGAGGAAAGAGGGATCTAGGCCTGATTCAGCTCCAGGGGGTCCCAGAGGTCAGCGGTATCCCCAGGGAGAACCTACCCTTTACTTCCAACACACAGCTTTATAGTCTCATCTTCTGAGGAATCTTGCTTTGCTTTAGGGCTAAAAGAACCAGGAATGACGTGTGGCAAAGGTTAAATCATCTTAATATAGGGCAAGAGTTAATCTATGGAGCACTCCATGGATTACTGATCCAGCTATGCAAAATATTTAGTAGAGTTTTATAATTTTCTAGGGAAGTTTTTTTGTGATGGAGAAAAACAAAATACACAGAATGCAGAACTGCATATATAGTATATGTAATTAGGCACAGAAAAAAAAGACTGGAAGGAAATCTGCTTTCCTAATGATTGGGGTTACCAGAAATTTCTTTTTTCTTTCTTCCTTTTTTTTTTTTTTTGGTAGGTCTAAGTTTTCTCTCACCATGAATCTCTTATCAGGAACTGTGACGCTGCCCCCACCGCCCAAGGCTCCCTCGAACTCCTATGTTGAAATCTTAACCCCTAGTACCTTAGAAAGTGACTATTTGGAGATAGGGCCTTTAAAGAGATGATTAAGTTAAAAATGAGGTCAGGGTGGGCCCTAATCCAGTATAAGTAATGTCTTTATAAGTGGAGGAAATCTGGACACTGATGTTACGGACGGAAGACTACGTAAAGACCTAGGGAGAAACTACAAACTAAGGAGAGAGGCCTTGAAAGAAACCAGCTCTGCTGACACCTTGATCTTGGACTGTTAGCCTCCAGAATTGTGAGAAAATAAATTTCTGTTGTTTAAGCCCCTCAGTCCATGTTACTCTGCTACAGCAGCCCTAGCAAACTAATACAATGCTCACCAATCTCAAGTCAGGAATCCCTCCCCTCATGAATTACTATCAACAGCTGACATTCATGTACTTTCTTACTTAATCTTCACCCTATATGAAGTTGATTTTAATACCTGTTTTCTAGATTGGGAAACTGAGAGGTCAAATGAATTAAACACCAAAGTTACATAGCTAGGGAAATGGAAGAGTTCTAAGTGGTACCTAGGCTGTCCACAGCCTGAGTCGCTTTCTTAAACCACTATGGTTATATCGTCTTTCTGATATACCCCAGTTTTGTTTTTCTCTCCGCCCCACCTCCCATGACTTGTTCTTCTCCATCTGTTGAAATAGCAGAGATTGATTTTTGGTGCCCAGTGAGGCAGTGTGATATTTGGAGAAAAGTGCTAGACTTGGGGATAATAATAGTAGCTCTTTTAGAGAGAGTTGTTGTGAGGATTAAATGAGAATAAGTATAAGGGACTGACAGAATGCATTAAGACAGAGGCCCCATTCTTATGCAGGCTCTGACATTAACCTGGTGAGTGACCAGGTAAAAGCATGTGAATTCTCTGGGCCCGGAATTGTTTACTGAAGCTTTAAGCTGAGGCCTGCCTTCCCTTGACTTGAAAGGAGTGAAGCATGTTATTCAAGACAGTATTCAAGAATAGTAGGACCACACATACTTTCTCTTTGATGTAATAGGAAGAATAAGAAAAGCTTAAAGGGAATACCTAAACTCACTAGGTGATTCAGTGTTGCTTAAAGCTGTGTTAAGGTTGCATGCAAAGGTCCCTCACAACTCTTTTGGTTAGAAACATCAATATGTTGATACAGAATTTGATTTATTAGGAATTTAGTTTTTCTCATTTGGAAGATGAAAATTAGACTTCACAGAGCCATCTTGAATATTGCATAAGACAGAACCCCAAAATACACATTTGTAAACCCCAGGACCATATACAGACTCTTAATACCACACAAAGAAACTGGAGTTCAGGGAAGATGCCCAGGGTCACACAGCTAGTGAGTAGAATTAGAATCCAGGGTGGTCACATTCTAAAACCAGGTTCTTCAACACAGCATTCATTTAAGAACTCATCAAATGTCTCCTACGTGCCCAACATTCTTTTAGACACTAGGGATGCAACGGGGAACAAAAGTGTCTCCCAGTACCTTTAAAGTTTTATAGGATATTGCTTCCTGTCCACAATCTGTCTAGCAAACTAACCAACAATGCATTGATTGTAATAGCAGAAGTCTAGAAAACCTAAATGTCCTTCCATACATGGTTAACTTTGTGTTATGATACCATCTATATAAGAGAACACTATGCAGCCATAAAGAGCATAAAAGATGAGGAAGCTTCTATGTATCACTATGGAAAGATCTCTAAGACATATTGTTAATTAAAAATAAAAAGATATAGAAACCATAACAGCATCCACCCTCTCCTGTGGGGGCCTACTAGGTGTCTAGACGTTCTCACTGCGGCAGATGTTTGAATGCATAGGGACGACCAGGTAGCTCTA